CCCCCCCCGCTGACTTTCGTTCCCACCCAAGCTGTTTCCAGTGGCTTTTCCATACGAATGACCTGACTTGGCTCATGCTTCAGGTTTTCTTAAAATCTCTCAAACAAGCAGCTTCTGGCCCCAGCATGCCCCATACTTCTCACTAAGTGACTCCAGCCCTGGCATTAGCAGCAGCTGGCCTTGGTTTGCAGCTTGGCCTCTCCTGGGCACCTCTAAGCCCAGAATGAGTAGCAGTCATCTGCAGATCGCTTTGTAGCTCATGCTGGGTGGCCCCTGAAAGAACACAGGCAGTGGCTAACCTTGGCCTGCACCTCACAGACAGCCCCAGAGCCGGTGCACCCAGTGGACAACTTTAGTCCTCTTCCAAGCATCATCACCCAATCACCTCCACAAGTGACGTACTCAAGGGACAGACTCAGTGAGCACCAGAGCCCTGCTGAAGTAAGTCCTCCTTTTTGAGGTGGGCCCCTGCACAACTGATCCTCCACAGTGGTCAGTGGTCAGAGGTTAGTGGTTGCAGCCAATCTTTGCAACCGACTGGCCTGGGAATAAATTCCTCCCATTGACGTGTCAACAGTAATTGAGGCTCAACTACAAGAGGAGGGTGTACACAGCCCACCACCTCAAGTGCCCAGCTTGGGTGATCAGGGAGGCTGTGCCACTGGACCCTACAGAATACCTATTACATTAGGCCACTCTACCAAGTCTGGGAGACATAGCAGCTCTACTTAATACATAGAAACAAAGGGAGGCTGCCAAAATGAGGAGACAAAGAAACATGTCCCAAATGAAAGAACAGAACAAAACTCCAGAAAAAGAACTAAACAAAATGGAGACAAGCATTCTACCAGATGAAGAGTTCAAAACACTGGTTATAAGGATGCTCAATGAACTTAGTGAGAATTTCAACAGTATACAAAAGGACCAGTCAGAAATGAAGGATACACTAACTGAAATGAAGAATAATTTACTGGGCATCAACAGTAGAGTAGATGAAGCCGAGAATCAAATCAGTGATTTGCAATACAAAGGAGCAAAAAACACCCAATCAGCCCTGGCTGTTTTGGCTCAGCAGTTAGAGCGTTGGGCCATGGACTGAAGGGTCCCGGGTTTGATTCTGGCCAAGGGCATGTACCTCAATTGCAAGCTTGATCCTGGACCTGGTAGGGGCAAGTGCGGGAGGCAACCAATGGATATGTTTCTTTCACACTGATGTTTCTCTCTATCTCTCTTTCTCTCCTCCACTCTCTCTGAAAAGCAATGGAAAAAATATCCTTGGGTGAGGATTTAAAACAACAACAACAACACACCCAAATCAGAACAGCAAAAAGAAAAAAGAATCCTAAAATATGAATATAGTTTAAGGAGCCACTGGGACAACTTCAAATGTACCAACATTCATATCATGGGGGTGCCGGGAGAAGAAGAGAGAAAGCTAGAAATTGAATACCTATATGAAAAAATAATGATGGAAAACTTCCTTAACCTGGTGAAGAAAATAGACATACAAGTCCAGGCAGTGCAGAGAGTCCCAAACAAGATGAACCCAAAGAGACCCACACCAAGACACATCATAATTAAAATGCAAAAGGTTAAAGACAAAGATAGAATCTTAAAAGCAGTAAGAGAAAAGCAGTTAGTTACCTACAAGGGAGCTCCCATAAGGCTGTCAGCTGATTTCTCAACTGAAACTTTTCAGGCCAGAAGGGATTGGAAAGCAATGTTCAAAGTGATGAAAAGCAAGGACCTACAACCAAGATTACTCTACTTAGCAAAGCTATCACTTTAGAACTGAAGGACAAATAAAGAGCTTCCCAGACAAGAAAAAGCTAAGGGAGTTCATCACAACCAAACCAGTATTACATAAAATGTTAAAGGGTCTTCTTTAAGAAGAAGAAAGAATAAGAAAAAAATATGAACAATAAAATGACAATAAATACATATCTGTCAATTGAATCTAAAAAATGAAATAAATGAACAAGCAGAACAGAAACAGACTCACAAATACAGAGAATGTTTTGATAGTTGCCAGATGAGAGGGGATCGGAGGGAATGGGTGAAAAAGTGAAGGGATTACGTACAAATTGAGACTGGCTGGCATGGCTCAGAGGTTGAGCATCCATCTCTGAGCCAGGAGATCACAGTTAGATTCCAGATCAGTGCACATGCCCAGGTTTCGGGTTTGATCCCCAGTAGGGGACGTGCAGGAGACAGATGATCAATGACTATCTCTCATTATTGATGTTTCTGTCTCTCTCTCCCTGCTTTCCTTTCTCTGAAATCAATAAAAACATATATATAAAAAAAGATGTACAAATTGGTTGTTATAGAATAGTCATGGGGATATAGTCAACAATATTCTAATAGCTATGTATGGTGTCAGATGGGTGCAAGATTTAATAGGATGATCACTTAATAAGTTATGTAATGTCTAATCACTGGGGTGTACACATAAGACTAATATAATAATGTATGTCAACTTTAATTGAAAATAAAAATGATTTAAAAAAATAATAAATAAAATTGTACCACTCTCCATGAACTTTCTAATTGTCTTTCCTACTTTATCTTTCTCCATAAACTTCATTGGAACCTGGTATAATACATATTTTACCTTTTTGTTTTATGTCTTTCCTGATTAGAATGTCAGCAACCTGAGGACAGGGATTTTTGTCTGTTTTGCTTTAGTTACTGCTGAACAGTAAACTTAGCATATAGCATGCTCAGATGCTCAATTAAATAAGTGAATGGATGGTGAATTTTGGCAGATATTGTTCACTGCCTGAGCCAACAGTTATTCCCAACCCCTTTTCACTTACTACATATAACTAGAGAAGCTAGAAAAGCTGAATCATCCTTTTCCCAGCTATCCTTGTAGCCGGCAGTGGCTATGTTGATGTAATTCTGGACAAGAAAGCATAACAGAAATCTGATGGGTAGCTTCTGGGAAGATTTCTCATTGTATTGATCAAAGAGATTTTTCACTGTATTGATCAAAGAGAAGGTGCTACCATATTTCCTTTGTGCTGCCTTGAACATTGTTGAAGTGTTAGCCAAAACTGGAATAGCCATCTTGTGACCATGGGGCAATGTACATGAGGAAAAGGTCAAGAAAATGCCATCTATTCTGGGTCTGACAATTTCAGGCCACTAAACCAACAAGTCTATTTGCCTACCTCCAGACTGCTTGGTATGAGAAAAATAAACACCTACTTGAGTCATTGTAATTTGGACTTTCTGTTACTTAAGACATTTATAACAAATACACTCACCCATCCACTATTTGATAGGGATCAAAGAGCTGTGTCAGGTGTGAAGCCACTTACCTGAAAATTGACTTAGCACCAAGGGATCCAAAGAAGCCAGTGAATTAGGCCTCAGTCTTCAAAGTACAGCAGAAGGTGGCAAGAATCTTCCCCTAATGTCTCTGAAGTTCCAAATAGAATTCTACCACTCCTTATGATGTCATTTACTGAATTTGTCCCTCCCCCAGTCTCTCTCTATTTGACAGCTAAGCATACAGACATCTTTTTCTG